AGAGAGAGAGAGAGAGAGTATGTTTTCCAAAGTTACTTTCACAGCACGAGCTACGTGTGCCAGAAAAGTAATCTGGAATATATTATACTATCAAAATTTACCTTACAGTAAAGCAAATATGAAAAAACTATGGTTTTGTTACTTTTTCATTTTCTGTTGCCGTTGGGTGTCGAGGGGAGATTCAATTTTCTTTGGCAGGCCAACCCTGCAGTTCTTTCTGTTGAGATGTTGTAGTTTCTAAAGTTTCCTTTGACTCGCTCAATCCATCTTTTGCGTGGTTTACCTCCTCCTTTATAGCCTGACTACTTTGTGTTATAGGCATTTTAAGCCAGGTAACTAGGGGGTATTTGTAACAGATGGCCAAAACATTTTGTTCTGTGAATTTCTATGAAATGCAGGCAGGACTCCGTACCAACAATTCCTCTTGGATTTTGTGCGGAGATTTTTAATATAACATGGAGCAATATTGCTTTAACGGGTTTATTAATTTAATGTCCAGGTTAGGCATTGGTAGCATATAATGCTGGTATTTTTAATTTTGAAGGGATAAGTTGTCCCTGTGTCAACGTAAGAGTTTGGAAGAGACTGAAAGGATGCGAGCTTACAGGTGATAGTGCTGGCTTTTTGAGTTTATATTTTTTCTATTTCTTTATCAATACACCCATTTTTAGTTTTATAATGTTTATAAGATATTTAAACTCCTTGACCTGTTTTAAATGTTAGTTGTTCACTCACATAAAGACCAGGATTTCAACTGACTTTTGTGACTTCGGTTTATTGATGTGTCAAGACATGTTACATAATATGATCAAATCAGTTAATAATTACGTGTCATAATAATGCACCTTGCAGCCACACACCGCGCGTGTGACTCATCGCCCTGCCAGAACAAAGGCACGTGCGTGAACAGCGGGGACAGTTACACGTGCATCTGCAGGGACGGCTTCGAGGGTGCCACGTGTGGAATCAACATCAATAACTGCAACCCGTTCCCCTGGTGAGTTTGGTGACTTCTCTATCGGCAGGAGAGAGAAACAAATGGAGGGGTGTTTGTTTGTTTGCTTGTTTGTTTGTTTGTTTGTTTTGTTTAGTTTGCAAGGGGAAAGATAGTGTTAGGGGTGCTTCTTTCTTTTTGGTTTTTGGTGGGGGGGTTTTATTTTTTGGGGGAAGGGGATGTCTTTTGATAGTTTTCTGTGCGGATGGAGGAAGTGCCAGTGGTGGGTTTTAGATTGTTTCTATTGTTGGTCTTTTTTTCTAGGCGGGGGTGGTTGTTAGGTTTTTTAGAGGATGGGTTCTTCTGAAATGTAGCTGGCCATATTCACCAACTGAGGCTTACAATGGACCTCTTGTTAACATTAGTAACAGTACAGAATAGTCTGCCTACTCTGTTGGTTTTTGGTCAGCTTTTTTCTGATATTTAGTCATAGTTTTAAAATGAATATCTATTTAGACTTTTCACCAATTCATTTTAACCGAGTTTTACAATTGAAACGCCTTCCCTTTGTGAGCTTTGTTGCTTCTGTGTTGCTTGTTATTTCTTCTGAACTTTTGTTACTTTACTATTATAGTTACTCCTTTCAAAACGTTTTGAGTGTTGTTGTTTTGAGGTTGTTTTTTGTGGAGGTTTTATTATTTTTTTCTTTTTCAGATAATTATTTACACACGAGTATCACTCTTTGACTATTTATCCGAAATTTACTCGCAATTTGTGCTATTCTGGTTCCTTGTTTGTTTGTTTGTTGTTGTTTTTTAAATAGTTTTTTTGTTGTTAATTTTTAATTGGATTTGGTTTAAGTACAAATTCTGTTTCTATTCCATTGAGTGTTGTAAAGTAAATACTGATGTGTTCTTGTTGCAGCTATAACGGGGGCAAGTGCATCGATGGTGACAACTGGTATGTTTGTGACTGCGCCAATGGTTTCTCCGGGCCGGATTGCAGAATAAGTAGGTTTATGAGATAGTTTTTGACAACATAATATGTGAAGCATGCTGACAAAATGAGTTACTTCTTGCAAGCCGAGAATGGAAATATTGGCCGAAAATCGACTCTGGGGTCAGATTTATAGATTTTCAATTGATGCCATGTTGTTCAAGTCTACCGTGACTTTTATTATTCTACACTAGCTAATACTGTGCAAACTCCACCTATAAAGCTGATGTACCAATTTCCATAAGGCTGAAATGCAAGAAGTAACTCATTTTGCCAGCATATTTCTCATAGTATGCTTTTTGATATCAAAGAACTACACAGTCGAAATTGTTCTACATGGCCAGCTATTGTCCAGGAAGAAAGGGATTGTCTCAGACAGGCGCAGACTTTTTGGACAGTGTCATCGTAATAATATTTTTAACGTAAAGGAACGGGGTGGGGGGGG